TATCATTTTTTTAGATACACATTTAAGTGATATCATATGATATTTGTCTTTCTCTCTCTGACTTCACTTAGTATGATCATGTGTAGGTTCATCCATGTTGCTGCAAATGCCATAAACTCTTGATATTCTTACTGAGTTTTGGTAGATTTTCTTGAATGTTTCTATACTTGCTGCATGCCCTTAGGATCATTTCCAGAGACTTTATTATTATTATTTAAATAATTTTCACCAGTTTTGCTGGGAGCAGTTTCATGGAGCTCCTCACATTGCCATTATGGAAGCAGATCTCTCCTTCATTCTTTAGATGTGGTTTCCTTCAGTTCTTTGAACATATGTAAATACTTGATTTAAAGTCTTTATCTGTAAGTCTCCTGTCTAGAAAGTAATGCCTGGGCTTTCTCAGACACCGTTTCTTTCAACTGTTTTTATTCCTATATATGGACCATTCCTTCCTGTTTCTTTGCAAATCTCATGATGATTTGTTGAAAACTAGATATATTACATAAAATAATATGGCGGCTCTGAGATCAGATTCTTTTCACTCTCTAGCATTCCTGATTATTGCTCTTTGTCATGGTTGTTGCTGTTTATTTGCTTAGTGAGTTTCCTGAACAAATTCTGTAGATTTTAAGCTTTATCATATGTGACCACTGAAGCGTCTGCTCAGTTTTTTTAGTGGTCAGATCATTACTGTGCAGATTTCCTCATGTTTGGAACTGGCAAGTGTCCCAGCCTTTGCTGATGGGCTCTGTATGCATCGTTGGGGTGTTTCTCAATGCTGAGGCAGGCAGTTTACAACACTGCCTTAGCGTTTACTTCCTATTTGAGCAAAGCTCCAAGATTGACTTGAATTTCCCAGTAAAGCTGTCTGGGGCTGCAATTTTCTTTGGGGGAAGGTTGTTAAGTACAACTTCAACTTTCTTTACAGATACAGGGATATTCAGATTGTCCATATCTTCTTCAGTGAGCTTTGGGTTTTTGTGTCATTCAAGAAATTTGTCCATTTCATTCACGTTGTTAAATTTCTGGGCACAAAGTTATTGATATTATTCCCCATTGTTCTTTTGGATATCTATATACTCTGTATTGAAGTCACCTTTCTTATTGTTGATAATTGCAATTTGTGTTTTCTTTCTTTTTATACTGATTTTCTGATTAGTCTGGCTAGAAGTTTATTCAGTTCTATTGATCTTCTCAAAGAACTAGCTTTTGGTTTCTTGTTTATTCTCTCTTGTTTTTCTGGGTTTTGTTTAATTGATGTATCCTTTCATTGTTATTATTTTCTTTCCTCTGCTTACTTTGGTTTTATTTTAAAATTAATTTTCTAATTGAAATATAATTGATTTATGATATTATATTAGTTTCAGTTGTATAGCATAGTGATTCAATATTTTTATAGATTATTATCCCTTTAAAGTTATTATAAAATAATGGCTATATTTCTCTGTGCTGTATTCTTGTTGCTTATCTATTTCATATTAGTAGTTTGTATCTCTTAATCCCATACCCCATGCTTATTTTAGTTTTAATTTGCTCTTCTTTTCCTAGAAACTTAAGCTGAAGTCTCAGATCCTCTCATCTTTTCTAATCTAGGTGTTAATTGCTAGTTTCTTCTAACTACTGCTTTAGTGGCATCCCACAAATCCTGATGTGTTGTGTTTTTATTTTTGTGCAGCTCAAAGTTCTTTCTAATTTCTTCTTTTATTTTTACTTTTCCTTTGAGCCAAGAATTATTTAGAAATTTGTTATTTATTTTCTAAATATTTTGGAATTTTCCCAGAGGTTTTTCTGTTGTTCATTTCTGATATAATTCTATTGTAGTCAGAGAACATACTTTGTGTAACTTGAATCTTTTTGAATTTATTGAGACATCTTTTATGACTAAGAATGTGGTGTACTTTGGTAAATGTTCCTTGTGCACTTGAAAACAATGTGCATTCTGCAGTTGCTGGATGAAGTGATCTGTAGGTGTCAATCCAGGCACATTACTTGGTAGTGTTCTTCAAATACCTATATCCTTGTTGATTTTCTGTCTGGTTGCTATCAATTCCTGAGGGTACGGTATCGGAATCTCTAATTATAATTGTACTTTTAAGATTTCCCACAAAGCTTGGCCCAGAACCTTATATTGTAAGTGCTCTGTGATTGTTGAATCCCGTAAAGTAAGGATTATGTCTCAGATTTCTTTTGATCCCAGCCCATAGTAGTGATGTAGCGACTATTTTTGTAAAAGATGATGTTGGCAATGAGATTTGTTGTATGCACTTAGCTTACCTCAGTTGTGTATCTGAAGGTGTATTTAGATGTCTTTTCAGTGAAAACATCCCAGATTGTATTGATGTATTTTACTTGAAAAACAGTTATAAGAATTAATCTGTCTGTGCCACCAAGTGATTCTGGAATTCAAAGTTCAATTCAGTCAAAATGCCATTGAGTTTTACTTTGACTAGGCACACACAATAGACATTCAATGAAAGTTGTTAAAAAAGAGCCTTAAAAATTTGAAATGTACTTGTATTTATCACCTAATGTGTACCATTTCTGTTAATCTGGGGCATTAAATGTTTGATTTTTTTCCCCCTAATATGGCATGTATAACATTTGGATAACTTACATGATTTTTTTTTTCTCCTCAGAGTCATAAACATTCCATGTGTATACGGCCATTTCTTCCCTATTTCAATGTGTCACAACAATTTGCTACCTTCGTCCTTAAGGGTTCTTTTGTAAGTAAATGTATGGAACTTTCACTCTGGTTTTGATTTGGGAATTTCTATATTTTATCACAGACTAGCAGTTCTTATGTGAAGTCTTATATTATAAACTATTAATATGAATAGAAAAATGCCTTGGTGTCTTCTCTCTGCTGACTGGTTTTAGTCAAACAGTACAGAAGTCGCTAGGAGGTAAAGCTCTCTGTGGCTGTGAAGAACCTTAACAAAGGTTACTTGCAGGAAAGTTGTTCTTGTTGGTAGAGCATCATTTGTGTAATCGAGGGAACTTTCAAACATTGATCTTTGCAGTACTTTGTACCAAAAAAAAAAAAAAGAGACACAAGATTCATGTTATTTCTACCTATTGTTAGTTTTGAATACAGAAAATATAGGGCCCTTTCTGTCTATTAATTGCATAAGAATTGTTTTTAATGCAGGAAGATTCTTGAAAAGCTCTTTATACAGATATAGGAGTACTTTTGAAGCAAAGGCACTAAAATTGGAAACATTTGACAAAAGTCTGTAGTGTTTATAGGAAATAAAGTATTTGCTTGAATAATGTCTTCCTACTTTCAAAATGTTTACTATGTAAGATTTGAGGTGGGTCTTTTGGAAATTGAAATAGAATACACTTGTCATTGGCTCATTCTTACTGGTACTGATTTTGGAAATCCTCAAAGAGGAGATGATGAATTACTCAACTGTGCCTTTTGTGTGTGTTTTCTCCTTAGAGTGAAATACCAGAGCTACAGGTGTGGTATACCAAACTTGGAAAACCATCTGAGAGATTTCTTTTCAAACAACTGGATTCTCTATGGGTAGTTTTGAATAAATTCCTATAATTTGAGCATTGCAACAGTAAAAGGAAATAGATATTTGGTTAATGAATTAATTTTTAATTTCATAATTGATTTTATGACTGAAGCATAATAGAGATAAAGTTGTTCCCAATTTTTTTGAAGGCAGTATAGAAGTTTGGTAGGTGTGTTTGCTCCTGGTATTTAGTTTGTCTTGGTGCATCATCACTTGGTAGCCCAGGGTAGAAATCTGAGTCTTATTTGAGACTGTCTTTCCGACTCACCCTTTGTGTACCTTCAGTGACCAAGTACAGACAACACCACCCACATATTTCTCCTACCCGTTCCTTATTCTCCATTCCCACTTGTTTCAGTTCCTCATTCTGTCTCTCTTGGATTTCGGAAACTACCTTTTGTATTCTCAGACTCTAATCTGACTCTCTCCATGCCACACTGCTACCAGAATGATGTGTCTAGAATGCACATCTGATTTTTCTCAGTCCCATGCTCAAAACGCCTCAGCAGTTTTCCCTCTAGGTTCACATCTGTTAGTGTAGTATGTGACCCTCGTTACCACCTCATGAGGTAAAAGACTGATTTCCCTTCTAGATGCATGTCCTGCCAAACTGGCCGCTCTTCACAGACTGAACTTCTTGCCTTTTTCAGAGCATGGCGTGCCAAGTTAATGACTTCTGTGACTCTGCACATGCTTTTTCTTCTCCCTAGAATACCTTCTGCTCATATCTTTGTCAGCCTTCGAGACTCTTCACATGTATTGCTTCCTCTGGAACCCTCCCCACCAGTCTTAGGTCGTGGCCACTGCTTACCTAGCAGACACTTTTCCCATCACACTGGGTGCCTCAGGACTGGGCCTCTGCTTTATTTAGCTTTCTGTCCCAGGTGCCTCCTAGAGAGATTGTTAGCACACAGAGGTTTCTCAGGAAATGTTTCAAAGAATGAAGCACATCACTTCACCTGATTGACACAAAGCTGCTACTCTTTCTGGTAATGAACGCTCTGTGACTCCCCTACTCAAGGTCAATGATTACACGCTATTCCTGGTGGGACATGTAGCCGATGGGCTGTGTGCAGAAGCATGGCGCCTGGCCCTGCCCTCTGGGGGCTGAGCAGCACGGCTGTATCCCCACCATGGGAACGCCACCCCCCTCCCCACTGACAAGAACTCTATTAAAAAAGTATATATTAAATTCTAAAAAAAAAAAAAGAGTAGTTCAACTTTTTGCACAATACATTACTAGAAATAGATCAATAAAGCTGAATTTCCCCATAGGAAAAATATTCTTCGTAAGTCAGAACATGGTGTTAGATATTTCATAGATCTGACCAATAATTTATTAAAGCAAAGGTATGATATAAACCCTTTTAATTCAGAGTAGAAGAAAACCTCAAATTCCATATAGTGGACATACGTTTAATACCTACATCACTTATGCAAAGCATTCAGTGTCTACATTTACCATAGGACAGCTGTGATGCAGGGAGTGTTTCTCGTAGGTCACACACACTGAGCTTAGAACTTTATTTATGTTTTTAAAAATATTTTATCTATTTACCATATTACTTAATTATTTTATTTTAGCAGGGGAAGAGGTAATGGGTTTATTTATTTTTAGAGGAGGTACTGGGGATTGAACCCAGGACCTTGTGCATGCTAAGCATGTGCTCTACCACTCGAGCTACACCCTCCCCTAGTGAGCTCAGAACTTTATAAACATTATCTCATTTAATCCTCACAGTCCCGTGAGGTATGCATTACCCCCTCATTTTAAAGATGAGGAGATTATGGCTTAAAGAGATTAAATTGCCAAGATCATAAATGGGACATAAACCTAACTTACAATTGAAATATATATTGAACATATCATGAGTGGGACTTTTTTTCTTAGTAGTAAAGGATCTTCTGTGTTTAACAGCTGAGTCAACAGTAAGATTTTATGAATTTTTCTACCTTAGTTAAGTTCTAAAAAGTAAATAAGCAGAGCTCTTAGTTACATGTGTTGAATTATGCACCAGCTTGAGAAATCTGACAGCCTAATGGAAAAGAAGAGACTCATAGAAATAGATTTGGGGATCCTTTAGTCTTCCTTCCATGAAGTAAATTCTTTCAAGCTCCTTTCTATAAAGTTTAATTGTATGAAGTCTTTAAAATAACTTAAAAAAGATTCCGAGAGCCTTGATACTGAGTGTGTCCTTCCCAAGTAGTTAGGAAGTTCTAACAGAAATGAGTTTGGCTTTTCTTTAAGCTTATTTTTTCAAGAGTCATTTGGTCCAGACGAGATGAGCCAAAGCAGCTGGCTTGAACACGGTGTTGTTCGTTTCTCAGATCAACAGCGGCGGCAGCTTCACGCTGGAACTGCAGGAGGACGAGCTGTTCACACTCACCACCCTCACCACTGGAAGGAAAGGCAGCTACCCGCTGCCCCCCAAGTCCCAGCCCTTCCCCTGTGTCTACAACGATGACTTCAATGTTGGTAAGTTTTGGTACTCAGACGTAACTTGGTGTTCATCTTCAGTAATAGTAGAGGGATTTCTACCTGTCCCGCCCATGCATGATGGAGTGGCTGTGAGAGGTACGTTGACTTAGGTGTAAGTCTCTGCATGGTGAACAGATGTTATTCTTGGGTTACTCCAAGATAAATCGCAAGTTGAGGGCCCTGTAATTTTCAGTGCCAAAAAAAAAAAAAAACCGTAGAGGTTATTGTCAGAATGAAAGTTATACAGATCTTACTTGACTTACAATGGGGTTACGTCCTGATAAATGCATTGTAAGTTGAAAATATCGTAAGTCAAAAATACAATTAAATACACCTAACCCACCGAACCTCGTAACTCAGCCCAGCCTACCTTAAACATGCTCGGGACACTTACACAAGCCTACAGCTGGGCAAAATCATCTCACACGAAGCCTATTTTATAATAAAGTGTGGCATGTCTCATGTCCTTTACTGATACTCTACTGAAAGTGAAAAACAATAATAGTCTGGGTCCAGAGCGGTTCTAGACTCTAACCGTGTCGGCTGTTTCCCCTCGTGATCGTGTGGGAGGCAGAGCTGTGTCCACTGCCGCTCATTGCCGCTGCCACTGCCCAGCATCACAAGAGGGACTGTACTGTGTATCGCGAGCCTGGGAAAAGATCAAAATTCAGAATTCGAGGTACAATTCTACAGAATCACACTGCTTTCACACCATCAAAAAGTCGAAAACTCGGAAGTTGGGGACCATCTGTAACTCTAATAACCTTTTCTGGGTGAAAGTTAAGATTTGTAACATTGCTACTGTCCCATCATCCATATTTCATGAAAGCCGTTATTGACATCTTCCGCATGTGAGGAGACTAAAGCGCTTAAATGCCTGTCTTCCCACAGTGCTCGCAGACTGAGCGCCACGGGCAGTGAAGCTGTTCTTGGGTAACCCAGCTCACTTTCTACCCTCTGGCTGTGCCTGGGAGCTTGATATTTGTGCTCTCCTGGTTTTCTCTGAAGATCTGTCCTAAAGCTAGTAGAAAAGCTTTTGATTATAGGTCACTTAGGAGAACTGTGTGAGAAGTTTGAAGGCACGGTCATTGTGGTTACATTCCCAGATCACTCAGTAAGTGATGAACTTGTTGACTGGTAGATGATGTTATCTGGCACCCTTGACCTCACAGACAGGGGCCAGGTGCCCTGTTCTCTGCTCCTAAAACCTGTAGCTGTAGGAGAGAGGTCGGGAGGGAGACTGCCGTTGCTGGAGGGCAACTTGAACTTCCCGTTGCTGCCTGGCCGCTTGTTCCACGAGGTTGGAGACTCCTCCCTCCCGCTCCAGTCCCTGCCACAGGGTCTCACCTTCCTTTCCTAGGAAATGATCTCCTGGTTGATTGGAATACAAGGCCCTGCGGACTGTGTCCTGGACACACCGTGAGCCTCAGGGGAGCCTGCTGCTTTGTTCCCTTGCAACTCTGAAGTGGCCTCGTAGATGACCCATTAATGCTAACCTCGAGAGGGGCAGCAGGCTGTTGCTCAGCTCTCTGTTGGCAAAGGGAACGCTTCTTACCTTCAGTAGGCGAGGAGTCTGTGTGGGATTTGGGATATGCCTAATTAATGACTAAAGAACTTCTGCCAACACCAAAACCGTGTATTCTGTGACCTGAAAACTGAAAGGCAACTAAATCTTCAAATCCAAAATGTAATGCTTTATTGGCTGCAAAATAAACTAAAAACTAAAGTTAAAAAACTATATGCCAGACCTTAGAGCTACAGTTGACCCTCGAACGGCACAGGTCTGACGTGTACAGGTCCCCTTACGTGTGGGCAGTTTTCAGTGGTAGATACCGCAGCTCTCCCTTGTCTGTGGTGGGTTGAATCCAAGGATGCAGAGGAACCTCGGATGGGGAGGGGCCAGCTGTGAGTTATGTGCGGATTAGTCCTCATGTTGTTCAAGGTTCTTTATAGGGTTTTTGATGTCTGAAATGTTGTGGCGAGTCTGAAAACATTTGAAAAAGCATGAAGTGCAAAGTGGCTATAAGGTATTACGACTCAAATTGATCTTCTATAGCCTTCATCATTGTAGGACTATAATTTAATAAAACTAATTTAGACCCCAAACTGGTTTTTGCTCCATTTTGGAAAGAGAAGAGAAGTTGCCATTTGTAAATTCTGAACTTGGCAGTCAGCCTTTTCTGACATTCTCTCAGCTGCTGACTGTGACCAGTGATTTAGAACCTTGTTTGACACATATTAGAAACAACAAAACTATCTCATATTGAACCCTTGCTAGGTGCTAGCTTTTATACACACTTTATATACATTCTTTTATTTAATTTTCTTGTCCTCTGGCCCTTGAAAATGAGGAAACTTGAGACATAGGGCAGTTAAGAAATTTGCCCATGGAACCAACTGAGTTGGAATTTGAATGTAGGTCTGCCTTATTCCAGAACTCATCATCTTCCCTCTTAGGCAGTTGCATGGTAAATATGTAAAGTTTGATGTCAAACTGACCATACTGATATTTAATAATGATGATATAAAAGTCAGTCGCTCTTTATTAGCCAAAACCCTAAACTTTTACTGGTTATAAGTATCATTTACTTATTTAAAACTTCAAAGTATTTCCAAATGTACCAGAAAATGTCAGAGAGGAGAGACTCTGTGAGGATTTGATACTGAACAGAATTTATTGTGTCCTGAACAGATTACCCATTTTTTAGTGAAGCTCCAAATTTTGCTGATCAGACTGGCGTATTTGAATACTTCATGAATATTGAAGACCCCGGAGAGCATCGCTTCACACTGCGCCAGGTTCTCAATCAAAGACCCATTACTTGGGCTGCTGATGCGTTCAACACGATCAGTGTTATAGGAGATTACCAATGGTATGTAAAATTGACGTCCTTCATGTTGCTCTGGCTGGAATAACCTTGTGACGTTGTCAGGCACATTCTGAAGCCAGGACTTTTTAATGTTCTTCCTTGTCTAAGAACCTAACAGGTTTGTGGTAATTGCTGAATATCTGGTCACAAACCAGCCAATTATTTTGTTGCCTCAGTGACCTTGCCCAATTTAATAATAATTATTGCAGGATAAGACTGATCTTAGTATAAAAATTGAGGATTTGGGGACTAATTATAACTTAAAATTTATTTATAAGCAGACTTTGTGATTTGCCTGTTAAGCTTTTAAGTTTTTGTTTTTGCTGGTGAATTGATTTGTTGATATGGTGTTGCCACCTGCTGGATCCATACTTGAATTGCACTGTTTGAGCCTTGATGGAAAATCTATTTACCAGGTGACAGTAGATGGCAACAGTGAAAAGCAAATCAGCTTTTAGTTGGCTGGTGCACGCCACTCTTGTCTTTGAGCATTTGACAAAGAAAGAAGATGTATTTATTCTTCACTCAAAATATAATGGCCAAACCAAAACTTCACCTTCCCCTTTAAGTCAGTTATGAAATGCCAATGTATTGACTTACTATAACTGTTACAGGTGTATCTTTTCTACCTTTTCTTTTAACTAGTGTAATTCCACCGTGAAACATAAAACACAAGCATTCCAGGTTTGGTGATAGTAACTATTAATGCCGAATCACCAGTCTTATCTTGACCAGTCAAGTCATAGCTTAGGAATTGGACAGGAAAGGGAAGATAATTCAGAAAAGAACCATGAATTGTTCGCCTGTGGGATGCTGCAGAAAGTCTTTATCCCTCCGTATTGCCTTCCTCCCTATTATAAACCCCAACTCTAGTCCCAAGCTCTAATATTAGTCTTGAGAAGTCTAGTCTTCTATGCCTGACTTCCAAGACCCTTTAAAATCTGGTCTCATGCTATTTACTGTGTGTTGTTTGCTGTTACCTTGTTCTGGATTTGAGGCAGCCGGATCTGTTCCGAGAGGCACAGACATCCCACGGTCATTTCTGTTTTCTGGCTGTGATGCCTCTTTATCGCAGGGGAAGGAGGGACTGAAAACTGGGCAACGCTAAACGCTGCTGTGAGCTTTCCACAGCCACCTTATGGCAGAGGTAGCATCCTTTTTACCTTACAGATCGGGAAACTGAGGCTTCAGGGCTAGATTTACTCAAGATCCCATTCTTTTAAGTTCCAGAACCCGAACACAAGGCCAAGTCTGTCTGGTGCTGTAGCCCATGCTCTTTCGAATACACCTCACAGCCTTGTTTTAATCACTGTCTTCTTCCTGAGAGTAGGAGAGGGAAAGTCAGGTGCTATTTGAGTAAGTCAGTGCCATGCGTGCACAGTGCCGTCAGTTCTCAGAACTGTGTTTATGGCAGAACTTCCTCTCTCATATTTAGATTTAGTTAAGTATCAGCACAGTAATTGGACTATAAAAGGTGGACTTTACCGAAGCTCCTTAAGACTCCCACCTTGTTAGTGAGCCTTGGTTGAGATCTGAAGACAATCACAAAACTATCTTTTGCTGCACACATCTGAACTCTGCATCCTTTTGATCAAATTTGCTTTAATATATTGGCTGGTTTTTGCTCTCTCAGCACTCTGAGAGATTATGGCTGTGGAAGACCAGACTTTTATTCAATTTCCTTCATTATCTGTAAAATTGCCTGTAAATTCTGATGCAAGAATCACTTATTTTGGAATGTAAGGTTAAAAAAAAAAGGAAAACGTTTGATCTTCTCTTACTTTAACTCTAAATAGAATAAGTTTGTGGTGCTGACAGGACCTGTACACTTTCAGACTTCGGTCGAACCAGCAGGTAGGTGGGGATGTGCTGGACGAGGCTGATCCGCAGTGGTTTCGTGCTGGGGATGCTCTGCAGAGAGGAAAACCCGCTCGGCTGTGGGAGGACACACGAGAGAGACTGGGCTTTAGTTATGTAGCATTTGATTTTCCCATAAAGTAGTCCAGCTTTGGTTAAATGACTAAATGTGAACTTTCCTGATTGCTGTGTGCCTGTTGTAGGTGCTTCTGTTTTATATTTTCCTTTACGTACTAAAATTGCACTGTGCAAAATTCACTGACTAGAAACTCTGAGAAATGTAAAAAGTCACATAATTCAAGATTCAGTTTTCCCCCATTTCTAAAATATATTTCTTGGCATTCTTAGTTTTATTTTAGATAAATTGCCTGCTGTATTGCTTGGCTGTGTGCAGGCTTTCTGACTCTTTCCCATTTGCAGTTAGAATTTGAGTAGGAGGGGAATTATTTTCCTTGCTTCGTGTTGGGTCGGGGTGGTGCATCGCTGCAGAAGGTGTCTAGTAGCGTTTCTAGAAGGAAGCCTGGAGGAGAGCTCACTGTTAAAGCTCTGATAGTTCCTGGCTGGCTGAACCTTTCCCCTCCTTTGATATACTGGTGTCAACCAGAGGTCCCTGGACCAAAAGTTTGCCTGCCTCTGTGTACATAGAGATGCTCTACAGGGGGAAGTGGTTCTCAGAGTGGAATTCCCCAATCAGCAGCATCAGCATCACCTGGCAGTTTGTTAGACATGCAAGGTCAAGGGGCCTACCAGAGACCTACTGAATCAGAGCCTGTGGGGGGTGGGGTGGGCAGCAGACTGAATCGAAGAAGCCCTCCAGGGTGATTTAAATGCTGCTCAAGTTTGAAAACCCCTGCCTATAGAGTCAGGGTAGAGTTGACTGTGTCTTTGCAGAGAAATAATTTTAGATCTTTCTTCTGGAGTTTCTAAGTCTTGTTAGGATTAAATGTAAAAATTAGCCCCAATGTAGCTTATGTTCTCCCAAAGGCTCCTAGTAGTCTTCTTGCTTCTCTCTGCTGATGGAAATTTAATAAACCTCTTTGCTCAAAATTATGTGAAAACTTACTTTTTATGTATTCCTAGAGAAAATGGCTTTTATTATATGAGAATGAGAAATTATTTTATTAGAGAGAGATAGGAAATATGTTCTTAGTAAACTTGAAAACAGTAAATATTATTTTCCAATAGTAAGTCATTAAAAGAGCGATGAAATGACTTGACTTTAATCCTGTAAAGCTTAAAACCATTATCAGTGAAGATCCTTGAAGGCCATCCCTGCCATAAGTGTAGACTTAGCAAATCACGTACTCACCTCAATGAGAAGTTTGGAAGCACGTGGCTGTGAAATGAGCCATTTGTGCTACATTGGAAATGACATAATTAAAAGCACTAACACTCCCTTCTGCAGGTCCAATCTGACTATAAAGTGTGATGTCTATATAGAGACCCCTGAGAAGGGGGGTGTGTTCATTGCTGGAAGAGTGAATAAAGGTGGCATTTTGATTAGAAGTGCCAGAGGAGTTTTCTTCTGGATTTTTGCAGATGGAACCTACAGAGTTACAGGTGATCTAGGTAAGTAGCTTCCCCTATAGCACATGACTCACTATGTGATACGTTGCTGTATCTGTTTACTATTTAAGGGAGTAACAAAAGAGCTTTATACCCCAGTGTGCTGGACATTTAATTGGGCAGAGATTTAACACAAGTAAGCAAATACCAAACAATTCAAAATTATAGTGTTAATTAATTGGTACAGAGAGAGGCAGCGCAGTGAAAGAGAAAATTGTGCAAAGCTTTTCGGCTATTGTAGAGTAGAACTAGGCTGTCAGGGTAGGACTACTGTAGGCTGGGGGTGAGGTGGTAACAGTACCGAGAGGATGCCTAGGAAACACTATAAATAAAAGCAAGACTGTAAGAATGTTGCAGGTGTGCTTATGGAAATGTAAAGGGAAGGACTGATTTGCTTACAATGGAGAAATCCTACTTCTTGGCTTTGTCAGTAACTTGAAAACAGCTTGACTTTTCTCATTCATCTGAATAGTCCTTGTCTTAGTAAAATAGTATTTTATCCAGAATGAGCGCTTTTAGAGTCTGTTCAGGTTGAATTCCATCCAGTTCACTTTGGTTTGTGCACACACTGCTTTGTTGAAACTAGTCTTTATTGCTGGTGACTCTTCTTGATTCACAGTCTCTTGAATTTTATCCTGCATTAATAAAAACTCTTCTGTCTTAAAGTTTACTCCTCTTTGCCTCTTCCTGAGGTGAAAAGGGCTTCAATTATAAAACAATAATTAGAAAGGAAGTGGGTAAAAAACATTAGAATAGGAATTGCATAATCATAGCATGACCAGTCAAGAAGGTACCTCGCATTTTCCAATCCAAAACGGAGTGCCAGAGAGGACAGTTGATTGGCCCAAGGTCTCAGAATGAGTTAGTGGCGGAACTGGGACTAGGAATTTAAATCTGTGTCTTCAGTCCCCACTGCTCTGTGTTTTAAATTGCCCATCGGACGTCTCATTCTGGGTTTCTCTCGGGCATTCAAATATAATGCATTCAAAAATGGTTATTTTCTCTGCCTAATTCTCAGTGAATGCTGTTACCATGTGGCCAGTTACACTAGCTGCAATGCTTATGGTACTTTTTGACTGTTCCTTCTTATCCTCTGTATTTAATCCAATCGGGTGTACATATATATACCTGAACTGTACATGCTAATACACTGTTGTACCATAGTTGGTTTGTAAGTTTATTCTCTACTTCTTTTGTGAGCTCATATATAATATATGGCTTGGGGTTGGATCTCTCTGCATGTTGAATGCATGCCTGAGTGAAGGATGTTTTGTTTTAGAATCAGTTATAGTTATGGAAATGTCAATTTTATTAAGGCTGATTTTACTGCATACAAATGCACCTGAGAACCCCCACTGAGTTCTGTGATTCTGTGATTTAGATTTTAAAGATGTATCAGGATAATCTTTTTGTGTTACAGCTGGATGGACCATATATACTGTAGGACATGCTGACATTACAGCAAAAAAATGGTATACGCTCACTTTAACTATTAAGGTGAGTATTGCTGATCAGAATGCCTGGAGGTAAACTGCTCTTTTCTTGTGACTTTTTAGCATGTTCTGTTATCAGATGGGAGGGGGAAAGGGTGATAAATAGTGGAAATAGGCAGAGAATCTGCCACGATACCAGCAAACCACCGTCCCTGGGATGATAGTGTGTGTCTGGGTAAGCCCACGTGAGAACCATCGACAGCTGACTTTATCACCCCCACTATTTTTTCAAATTTTGTTTCTGTTTTTTAAACTCAAGAGTAATTAATAGATAAATTTAATAATTGAACTATTTTTTTCAAGTTTTCTTAAACCAAGATTCTGATTGGAGCTAACAGGTATAAAAGCAAAGCCACATAAGTTTATTTTTGATGGTTAAGAATGATTTGGTCTTCAACTATAAAGACAACTTTTTTTAGAAGTTGGTTTCCATGACTCTTTTTTTGTCAGAGAAGATTGACACCAGATTAACTAGTATCATGGGAATCTAAAAATACGTGTCATTTTACTGGTTGATCATCGGTAATTGACTGACATGCTTCCAAGGGATGCTGTGTGGAGAAAGTCCTCTATATGATATACTGCCCTCGGCTAAGAGAGTCCTGTCGTAAGTTTGTCTAGGTTACAGTAGCGGTTAAAAATGGAATTCAAATAGCTTTGAACTTGTTCTCTTACTCAACCAGCAAAAGTGACAATACTGACTTTTCTGGCAGTAGCAGTAACATGCACTGAATGTCGGGTTTGGGTGTAACATAGTTTATTTAACTGTGTCACACTTGATGGACATAACCTGGTTCCCGGTTCTCCCCTTTTGCAGTGAACTGAGGCAGTAAGGGCTGGCTTACTTGCAGGCAGAAGGAGGGGATCTTTTACTTGCCTCTTGGGGTACCCACGTGCTGTTGTTTGTTTAGGAAGATACTAGGTCTTGGAATTGGATTTTAAATTTTAACAGGTACTGCCCTATTGCTAGCCAAACTGTATCAATTTTTATAGCAGTATATAACATATTTGATATTATCGATTTTAAAGATTTTTTTTCAAACTAATAGACATGATTTTTATTTTCTAGATAATTAAGAAGGTCACACATCTTCTTATGTTTATTGGCTATTTGTGTTTTTTTTTCTTCTCTGAAGTTACCCGTTCACATTCTTTCCTCATTTTCCTATTGTGTTGTCTTTTTCTGACGAATTTGTATGAATTTATTATATATTCCAGGTAGTAACCTATTGTCTGCTGTGTATGTCACAAATACTTACTTCCATTCTGTCTCGTGTACTTCAGTTTTGCTTATGGTTTTTTCATGAATAGAAATTTTAAATTTTGGTGCTGTCACATATTTCACTTTTTTTCATTGCTTTTTTGCTTTATTTAAGAAGGCCTTCCATTTTCTTAAGGTTAGAAACGTTTTTCTCCCTCCAGCTAAACAAAGGTTAGGATTTTTTTGTGTGTGTTTAAGTTTTTAATCCACCTGGAATTTATCTGTGAATCATAAGGAGAAAAGCCCTATATGTATTTTTTTTAAAACAAATGGATAGCCATCATCATTTATTATATAAACTGTCCTTTGCTTTTGATTTAAAGACCACCTTTTTGATATAACAACTCATCACATGTGCAGAGGCTTATTTCTGAACTTTTTTCTGTTCTTTAATTGCTTTGTCTGTTACTATCCAGTATCACATTTTAAATTGTGTCTACTTTAGAAAATCTTTGATTATGTGGTTTACTCCCTTCCTTCCTTCAGAGTCTTTCCTGACCACCTTATGTAGCATAGTACCCATGTCCCTCGCTGCCCCACTTTCCTTCCTTCGTTTTTCTCCAAAGCTCTTACTACCTCCTGGCATCATGCATGTTCTGTTGATCGCTTGTGTGTTTGTCCTGCTCCCTTCACTAGGACCTGCTCCTTTAACGACAGGCACCTCTCTGTTTTAGTCACTGCCGGCTCTCCGGCACCTAGAAAAGTGCCTGGTGCACACACACAGCCGGAGCCCGGTGCATCCTTGTTGAATGAATGAGTGGTTATCTGGTGAGGCAAGTTCCTCATTATTTCTTTTTCAAAATTACCTTTTCTATTATAGAATATTTACTCTCCTATTGGAATTTTTAAGACATCTTTTCAGTTCCATGAAAAATGTTGCTAGTATTACACTGAATTTATACATCAATTTGGGTAAAAATAATGTATTTGTTTAGAATAATGTGTTTCCCTCTCAAGAACACGGTCACAGGAACATGCCGCATCTACCATTTATTAAGATCTCCCACTATGTCCTTCAGTTTTATTTTTTGTAGTTTTTGCACATTTCTTGTTAGGCTTATTTTTAGTAACTATGAATTTTTTGAAATCATGAATGAGACTGAAAAGATAAATTTCCTAATTTTCTAAAGATACTTTGCATACATAGTTAACAGAATCAAAGGGGCTTATTGCCTCTCCGCTTGTCCCTTCCTCCTCACCCCACTCTGTTCTGTTCCTCCGACACAGCCCCTTTGAACGATGTTCGCTGTTTCTTCGGGTATCTCTCTAATACAGTGGGATTTACTGCTTTTAGAAATTAGTTCCCATCTTGCTACTGGGATACATAGGGATTTTGCTGACTTACACCTGCTCCACCCACTACCCCATTATTTCTTGCTCCATCAACTCTGGGCAATTCTGCTTCTCCCTTGCATTTCAACTCTGCGCACGCACTCCGAGAATCTTTCTGCAACTCTCCAATCTAAAGTGGTCCCCCAGGCACTCATCGTAACATCAACCTGTTTTAATTCTTCACATGCTTCTTATTACTAAGCTGTTATTTGTCATGTGTGTGTTTGTATGTCTCCGTCTGCTGGAATGTAAGCTCCCTAAGAGCAGGGACCTTGTCTTTCTCATTCATCCTAGATTCTCAGTGCATTAAGAAACATTTGGCGTATAAAAATTCACTGCATAAATGAAAAACAAAACATCTCTTATGATGTTCATTTTCCAGTTTATTGCCAGTATTAGGATTTTATCATTTTAACGTTGGCCATTTTTGAATTTTTCTTAGCACACACCAGATGCTTTATCTCAGCACTGCTGCTTGGTGGTTAGAGCAATAGACTTGAAGCCCATTATGTTCCACTTGCAAATATTTTGTTGCTCAGCCTCCGTTTTTTCATCATAATATCATGAAGACACACCCTTCTTGTGCATGATGAATGGAATCATATATATGTATATATGAGTAAATATTTGCAAGTTTGGTACAGTACCTGATACGTGGTAAGCACTTCATGAGTCAAATTAATACTCTTAGGAGTGGGTGTGTTTGGAACCAGACAGCGTTCATCTTTCCTTACTGGCATATTCAGAAACTTCCGGCAAGTTATTTCACTTTTTAACCTTCTGTTTCTTTATCTGTAAAACGGAAGTAGGTTGTTTTAGAGTCAAGTGGTTTTTATTTTTTCATTGGACACCTTGTTATCGAGCATCTATTATGTGCACTGTTCCTGTGGCTGCGGATGCAGCCGTGAGCAAGACGGATGAGGTTCCTGCTCTCTCGGCGCCCGTTTTCTTCGAGGATGGGAGCTAGTAGACTCTTTCTGTAAAGGGCCAGAAAGCGCGTGTTTCAGGCTTTGTGACCCATGTGGTCTGTGTTGCAGTTATCCAGCTCTGCTCTTGCGGTGGGAAAGCAGCCACAGACAGTGAGTAGGTGAATAGGGTGGCTGTGTTCCAATAACATTTAATTTATGAAAATAGGTGGCTGACCTGGGGGCTGTAGTTGGCTGACTCCTGCTCTGAATGAACAAGTAAATACAATTATGAAAGAAAAATGGGACAATGAGATAAAGAAGCTCCCCTGCCAGATTCTCTAGTGAGAGGTCCTGGAAAACTGTTTAGAGTTGGTGATGTTTGTACTGAGATGTGACCGGTGGGAGGAGCAGCCGTGCAGAGGGCACTTCTGTGACCGGCCTCGGGAGAGGAGCAGCTGGGAGGCCAGGATGGCCGAAGCCTGGGGAGCGAGGGCCAGGGGCGGATGGGATGAGGTGCCGTTCGACACAGGCTTCGTGCTTAATATGATTTGTATACTTGAGTCCCTTGGCTCAGTGTTAATATTCACCATTCACTAAGTGGAAGAAGATATTCAGCTCGCACTTTGAGGGCCGAAGACCGCTGCAGGTGTGTAGTAAGAGAAGGGCGTGTGGCTCTGAACGCGGAGTTGGGCAACTCCAAGTCCAGCCCTAGCTCTGCTGGTAAACCTGTGACTTTGATTTTTAATCTTGTTACTTTGGCAATGGCTCCATATATTAAGTAAAAGAATTAAATGAAGGCCCATCCCATGATAATTCTCTGACTTAAGAGTAGATTTCATTTTGGTTTGCTGCACTAAGTAGGTGGGCCATCCATTAAGGGACAGACTCCAGAGGATCATTCTCATGTGTCTTCACGGGCTGTGTTTCTCCCTGCTCCAGGGTGGCTTCTCCTCTGGCCTGCTGAATGGCCGGCCTCTCTGGAAGAACGTGTCCGTGACCTTCCCGAAGCACGGCTGGGCCGCGATAGGAACGCACTCCTTTGAGTTCGCACAGTTTGACAACTTCCACGTGGAAGCCGCACACTGATACTCATGAAGTGCCACGGAACCCTGCAGGGATTTTCTTTTTTTTTTTGGTTTTGGTTCAGAGCCAATTCTTGTTTTGATGGATCGATAGATGAGCCTTTTGGAGGCTAAAAATAATGAAGAGAAATGGGGAGAAAAACATATTTTTGCTAGACCCCCTGGAAGATTTTTTTTTTAACTAATTCCAAGGGGAAACGGATGAACCTCTGACGTGACCTGGTAATGTCCTGCAGACAGGACCCTGGGTACGTCGGTCCTGTCCTTAGGAGTGGCTTGGGTGTTCAGACCTCAAAGCCTTGTGTTAAGCTGAGGGAGCTCTCGTCATCTTACTTGCAAGTGACCATGCAGATGGCAGCAATGTGATCATCACTGTGATGCACTTCCTCATGCTGACCGCGTGTCCAAGGGAGCTGGCGACCTCCTCGCAGGTGACGCTGCCGCACCAGGAAGCTGAAGGACACTGGAAGTTCTGCTTTTTGAAAACCACTTCAACGTGTTATGCTTACACACTAACAAGTATTTGTCTTTTCCTTTTTAAGATGATGCTTTTGAATTATAGACATGATGGGTGGGATGATTTGAAAAATGCCTCATTAATAAACTACCTCCAAAGCTATTTCTACACTAATAAATATCAGTGGATTAATTGAGTCATCTGCAATTTTATTTCTTTTGAATCCAACTTTTGGTCTTGTGACCCTTGTAACTCTCTGCGGCTGAAAGGAGGACGGAAACCCCACATAGCCAATGCTGGAAGCGAGTCCAGAGGTAAATTGTAGCAGTTTTTTTGTGTTTCATTTCATTGTGCCTTTAATGATCTGTCTTCTCTTGTGGCGCTGGAGACAGACTGAAATAGTGAATGAATACATTTATCACCTTGTGCTTGGAAGAAGAACCCTTAGCCTTTAGCTAGTTCACAGAATTGGATCATCCTCTAACATTTTGTTTGGTTAGATGCATTTATTTCGTTGAAGTACAAATATGTTTAAGCACGGGTGAGCGGATTTCTAATGCAGTGTAATTTAAGTCAAAGCATTAGTGTATCTCGTAGAAACAGCTCAGTTATGCATGTGGATAAAGTAAATTCTGGAATTCTTTATAATGAAAGCTTAAAGCTTTGTTGAATGAATTCTACAATTTTTGAGTTTGTAGTGGTTTAACGTAGACTAAACTGACATGAAATTTTGTATTACTGTTAGAGACAAGAAACTAAATATTAGAATAAATTAGATTACGGAGAAAATTTTAAAGTTTAAACTCAAGTCTAAGTGATTTCCAGTTTAGGTCCCTACATATTTTTAAAAATTAACTTTATTGAGGTATAATTTACATACAATAAAATATTCCCATTTTAAGTGTACAGTTCAGTGAGTCCTGATAAATGGATACACCCAGGTAACCAACACCCCAACCAAGATATTGAACATTTCCATCACCCTAGAAAGCTCTCTTGTACACCTGTGCAGTCATTTCCCTCACCCCCGACCCCGATGTCAGGCAACCACTGATCTGATCTCCATCACTATTGGTAAGTTTTCTTTGTTCCAAAACATTATAAAAGTGACATCATGCACTTGGTATTCTTTTGTGAATGGTTTCTTTCATTCAACATAAAGCTTTTGAAATTTGTCTATGTGCCATGTATATCGACGGTTTGCTCCTTATTTCAAAGATTATTCCGTGGTATGAGTATAACACAATTTGTCCCCCGGTTTTTGGTATTGCAAATAAAGCTGTTACAAACATTTGTGTACAAGTCTTTGTGTGGACATATGTTTTCATATTTTCTGGGTAAATACCAAGGAGTGAAACTGCTCAATCTTTTGGAAGTGTGTGTTTAACTTTATAAGAAATTGTCAAACTGTTTTCCAAAATAATTATGTGATTTTACAATCCCATTAGCAATGTTTGAGAGTTTTTGTTGCTGCACATTCTTGTCAAGGCTTCCTATTGTTACTCTTTCCAATTTTAATCCTTTCTTGTGGCTTCGTAATATGTGCACTAGATACGGAGCATCTTTTCCAGGGCTTATGTGTCATTCATATATTTTTGTGAAATGTCTGTTCAAATCTTTTGCTCATTTAAAAAATTTTGTTCTCTGTCTTCATATTGAGTTATAAGAGCTCTTTATACATTTCGAGGAGATTTTTTTTCTCCAAGTCTATATCTTTTGAAGAGTATAAAATTTTAATTTGTAAGTCCAGTTTATCATTTTTTTCTTTTATGGTAGGTGTTTTTTTGGTATCCTCAGACATCTTTGTTTACCCCAAGTTCACGGGAATTTTCTCCTAGAAGTGTAATATATTTAGCTTTTACATTCAGCTCTGTGATCCACTTTGTATTACTTTTTGTACATGATGAGAGGTGAGGATTGAGGTTCATTTTTCCTGTATGGATATTTAGTTTTTCCGGCATCATTTGCTGAAAAGACCTTCCTTTGTCAAAAATCAATTGACTGTACAGCCAGTAATAAACTCCGTATTCCATTCTACTGATCTATGTGTCTATCTTTAGGCAAATACCACACTGTCTTCATTACTGTAGCTTTGTAGTAAATATTGAACTCAGTTTATCCAACTTTGTTCTTCAAAATTGCTTTGGATAATCTAGGTCCTTTACATTTCCATAAATTTTAGACTCATGTATTTCTGTAAACAGCTTTCTGGAATTTTGACTGGGAGCACATTGAAATTATAGATGGGGAGCATGGATAGCTTAATGATATTGACCCTTCAATCCATGAACATGTTACATCTCCATGTTTTTAGGCTTCCCATAATACCTCTTAGCTATTTCTATAGTTTTCAGTGAGCAGGTCTTGTACATATTTTATTAGATTTATCGTTAAATATTTTAGGTTTTTCAATGCTATTGTAAATGGGTTTTTTTCCTTATTTCATTTTTCAGTTTTTTGTGCATACATTGAAATACAGTTGATTTTCTTATGTTGACCTGCAATCCTACTGCATTACTAAATTCACTTATTCCAGTAGATATTTCTTTCTTCCTTTCTTTCTTTTCATTCTTTCTTTTCTTTCTTCCTTCCTTCCTTCCTTCCTTCCTTCCTTTCTCTCTCTTTCTTTCTTTCTTTCTTTCTTTCTTTCTTTCTTTCTTTCTTTCTTTCTTTCTTTCTTTCTTTCTTTTTTCCTTCCTTCCTTCCTTCCTTCCTTCCTTCCTTCCTTCCTTCCTTTTCCTTTCTTTCTTTCTCTCTTTCTCTCTTTCTTTCTTTTTCTTCCTTCTTTCTTTCTTCTTTCTCTTTCTCTCCCTCTTTCTCTTTCTTTCTTTCTTTCTTTCTTTCTTTCTTTCTTTCTTTCTTTCTTTCTTTCTTTCTTTCTTTCTACCTTTCTTTCTTTCCTTCCTTCCTTCCTTCCTTCCTTCCTTCTTTCTTTCTTTCTTTCTTTCTTTCTTCTTTTCTTTTCTTTTCTTTCTATTGAAGTATAGTATGCTGTGTCAATTTCTGATGTATCCAGTAGCTTTTTTTAAAAATAAACTCTTCAGGATTTTCTACATATACAGTAATGTCACCTGTGAATACAGTTAGTTTTACTTCTTCCTTTCCTGTGCATCTGCTTTGTTTCTGATATTGTTGCCTTATTGAACTGGTTGAGAGTTCCAGTACAAGGTAGGGAAGCAGGGATGAGAGCAGATGTCCTTGCCGTATTTCTGATCTTAGGGTAAAAGTGTCTTTCATCATCAAGTGTGATGTTAGCTTATAGAGGGTTTGTTGTTTTTGTTGATTCCCATTGTCTAGGGAAGGTTACCTTCTATTTCCAATTTGTTGAGAATTTTTTATGACTAGAGATTGACTTTATTAAATACTTTTTCTACACCTAATAAGATATTTCTCCTATATTTTATTAAGGTGGTATATCACATTGTTTGAGTTTTAAATATTAAAATAACTTTGTATTCCTGAGCTATATATCATGACCACGTGGGGCTTATTACCCTGTTTATATAGTAGTGAATTTGATTTGCCTGTATTTGGTTAAGGGTTCTTTTTGTCTATGTTTATGCAGAATACTGATCTAACTTTTTTTTTTCAGTATCTTTGTTTGGTTTTGGTAACAGGATGATGATTTGTAAAATCAGTTGGGAAGTATTCCCTCCTCTCCTTTGTTTTCTGAAAGGTTTTGTGAGTTTCTTAAATCTTACATCAGTTGTCAGTCAGGGTAGAGTTAGGAGACAGAAGCCACACTAGGAAAAACCTTAAAGACTTATTAACTAATAGCATGATTAACTACGAAGGGGTAAAGAGAACCCTGAAGAATACAGAAATGGTGGATACAGAGATCAGCTGCTTCCTTGGCTGGGGCAGAGGACTCAAGGAAGGAGCAAATTTGGAAGAGGGCTTTCCTGCAAGACTGAGATTCAGGTCTCGTTGGAAAGGGTGTGGCTGTGACACTGTGGATGGCGTAGAAGTTTGCTGAGATGGCGCATGCTGATCCTGGCAAGCAGGAAACTGTCTTCTGGGGTGTGTTTGAGACTCCCTGGAAAGCTGCCTCCTCAGCTGCTGCTGAAACTCTGGAAACTTCTCCTTTGTGATGCTGGTGAAACTTCCTGGGAAAGCACCCGGAGTGTTGATGACAATCACTGGAGGGTAAGTACCACTGGCTGTCCCCGCTCTCGCTGGAAGGGGTGCATCACAGGATGTCCCCAGTGCTGCCAGCAGCCACACACCACAGGAGTAAGAAGAAAGCACGCTGTCTCAAGGGTGAAGTCGCCTTCCTTCTCCATGTCCCTGCAGTACCCTCCATGCTGGCGGCAAAAGAGAAGTGTTTATGAGCCCAGATCCACAGTCACAAAGCAGATCAAAGAAGAGGGACTGGGGGCTGAGAAACTGACAGAAACAGGGTTCTTCAGTTAAAAAGTTTTAAAAAAATTTTTTTTTATTGAATTATAGTCAATTTACAATGTGTCAATTTCCAGTGTAGAACACAAATTTTCAGTTATACATGAACATACATATATTCAATGTCACATTTTTCTTTTCACTGTGAGAGCTTTAAAATTTTTTATGTCAATTTTGGCAGTTTGTGTTTTTCAAGGAATTTTCTATTTCTTGTAAGTTATTTGTTGGCATAAACCGGTTTATGATATTTACTTATTTCAACATCTGTAAGACATTCCTGAAATGGCCAATTTGTGCTTTTTCTCTTTACTAGTATAGTTAAGAGTTTTGTCAATTTTATTTATCTTTCAATGAACCAGCTTTTGGTTACTTTGATTTTTTTCCTTTTATTTCTTTGCTTTCTGTTTTATTGATTGCTGTTTATACCTTTGCTATTTAGCTTCTTCAACTTTGGGTTTAATTTCCTCTTTTCCTAGCCTCTTAAGATGTCAGCTTAATTTTGATTTTGGGTCTTCTTTTTCTTAAATGTAGGCTTTTAATACTAAAATTTTCTCCAAAGATTAATTTAACTGCCTCACATATTTTGATAGATCATGTTTTTATTTTCATTGAGTTCAAAATGTTTTTTTTTTAATTTCCCTTGTGTTTTTGATCTTTGTGCTGATTAGAAGCATGGTGTTTAATTTCCAATTATTTGAGGATGTTTCAGATTTCTTTTTTGTTATTCATGTTTAGCTTCATTTTGTTGTGGTCAGAGAAGACGCTCTGGTTTCAATTAAAATGTACCTAAACCTGTTTTAGGATCCAGTTTATCTTAGCCAATGTCTCTTGAAAAGAATACAGTTTCTGCAGTGATTCGCTGTAACATTTAAAAATAGTAATTAAGTTGTGTTGGTTGATGGTGTTGTTTCAGAATTCTGTGTCCTTACTGATCTTCTGTCTGCTTGTTCTGTCACTTACTGAGAGGGGAGTGTTCAAGTGTCCGCATACAGTTGTGTGTTTCCTGTTTCTCCTTTCAGTCCCAACAGTTTGATTCTTTTGGAGCTTTTAAAGCTTCATCAGGGCAGGTCCAGAGGAGCCTTTACTCCAGGTCTGGAGTGGCCCTGTTTGTAAGGCATGGAATTCTCTGGGAGTTCAACGGCTTCACCATATAACTCCGCTATAGTTCAGATCTTGGACGTCTCCCAGCCCTGTGAGAATTTTGATAGTTGTTCAGCTAACGGGTCCTTGGAAACTGTTTTCCCTGGTAATTCTTTGCCTGGCTCATGGAGTTTCACACCATGAATATGCAGCTTAGTCTAGAGCCGAAGATGCAAATGGACCCCTTTGTAGGTTTCTGGACCTCTCTTCCTGCATAGCTCCCTCCTCTCAGGTGCCCTGCAGTGCAGGTTTCAGATGTCTCAGCCTCCGTGAACTCTGATCCTTTTCTCTGAAGCTCTCCGAGACCGTTGCTTCCTCCAGACTTTGTGTTTGCCCTCTGTGTACCAGAATCTGGTGAATGCCTCCACGTCATAGAAACCTGTGCTCCTACGGCTCACCTCATTTACTTTCCGTCTTTCAGGGATCACAGTCCTGAGGTGTGTTGTCCACTCTCTGAAACATTTGCTTATAGTGAAAGGACTGGTCCAGTTCCAGTTACTATTCTTTCATGGCTGAAAGTGGAACTCTCTACTCATTTAAGACTTAACTTTCATGACCTTTTCTGAAATCTTTTAACACTAATAATTGGAACCACATATCATGACTTCGATGCTGTTTCAGGTATAGCTTGATCTTCTCAAGTAACTTTTAATTCTTTGGGTAAAGAATGTGTCTCAAGCTCTGACATCCCCTGTATTGGTGCACACTTTTGAAGAGTTGTCAGCAAAGACTTGATTTGATATGCTCAATTTTTATGAGGCCACTGGTAACCATGAATTGTATTTACTGAAGCAGAGAAGCTAAACTTTTCGATGAAAACACTTTGTAAATGGCCAGAGTTACTTCACGTACTGTCTTGGGCTGCTGTGACAAAACACCATACACTGAGTAGCTTATAAACCGCAGACTTGTATTTCTCACAGTTCTGGAGGCTGGGGAGTCCAAGATCAGGCACCAGCATGCTCGCCTTCCAGTGAGGGCCCCCTTACTGGCTCATAGCGGCTCCTTCTGTGTCCTCACACCATGGAAGGGGCTAGGGATCACTCTGGGGCAATTTTATGAAAAGTAACAACCCCTTAACCTCATGACCTAATCACTTCCCCGTGTTATAATAACTTCATATTGGGCATTAGGATTTCAGCGTATGAATTTGGGGGAGACATGAGCATTCAGATCATAGCACCCACCTGGAAGTATCAGCTTGGGGGGCACCACTTAAAGGACTGAACTGGAGCCCTGAGGTCTGGGTTAAATGCCAGCTCTATCGCTTATCTGACCGGTGGAATCACTTACGCCTTCTGGACTGAAGCCGCAATTTCTAGAAAACAAAGAAACGAGGCTGGTCACTGAGACAAATTCCAGCTCTTACCCTATAATTCTGTGACCTGTAAATCTGTGTTTCTTTATTTAATTCAAATCTTACTTACCTGAAGAGGTAACTTCTTTTTCCTTAAGTCCATATGGTTTGCCATTGTCTCCATACTGAAGCTGATCAGACACTGC